AATTAAAAAATTATTATAAAAAATTAATAAAATAATTAATAAATATTATATAAATAATTAATAATTATATAAATTAAAATAATTTATTAATTTTATTTATTATATATTATATAATTATAAAAATATTTTTAAAAAAATTTATATTTAAATAATTTATTTTTTATTAAAAAAATATATAAATAATATATTTTAAATTTATTTAAAATTTTATATTAAAAGATTTTTAATATATTAAAAATAAAAATTTATTAATTTTATATTTTAATTTTATATTAATAAATTAATTTTATTAATTTTATTAATTTTATTTTATATTATATTATATTTATTTTTAATTTTAATTAATTAATTTTATTAATTTTATTTTAATTAATTAATTTTATTTTATTTTATTATAATTATTTATAATTTTAATTAAAAATTATTATAATAATTATTATTATAATAAAATATAAAATAAAATAAAATAAATAAAAATAAATAAATAATAATAATAATAATAAAATAAAATAAAATATTTTAAAAAATTTAAATTATAAATAAAATTAATTAATTAAAAATATATTATTATGGATTAAAGTTAATAAAAATACAAGGATTTAATAAATTAAACTTTATTAGTAAATATAATAAATTTAAAAAAGAAAAGATTTATAATATATAATACGCAACGCGTATTTATACCTTTATACTTTAAAACTTATGCGTATTAATTAAAAGATTATAAAATAGTAAGCTTTAATAATACGTGGTTTATACGCTACATTGTTAAAATAATAGTTTAACAGTAATATATATAATAATATTTTAAAAAATATATTAATTAAAAAAATAAAATAATTATATAATTATAATTTATAATATTAATAATTAATAAATATATAAAAATATATATATAATTAAATTTTTATAAAATAAATTAAAAAATTTTTAATTTTTTTTTATAATTTTAAATAAAAAAAAATATTTTTATTTAAAATAAAATTAAATTATAAATTAAATTTTTAAAATTATTATTATTAATATATTTAATATATTTAAATTTATTTTATTTATTTTTAATTATTAATATATTAATTTTTATAATTTCTTTAATTTAATAATTTAATATATAAAATTTATATTATTATTTTTATTTTAATTAAAATTTTTTAATAATATAAATATTAATTTAATATAAATTTTTAATATAAAATTATATAAATATATATAATAATAATAATAATAATTTTTAAAAATATTATATAATATATTTTTATATAATTATATTTTTATTAAATTAAA